TTCATCTGTGGAACTCCCTTCTAGCCACTTGCTTTACAGCCAACTTTAATCTGTAAAAGTTTAAATACAGTGTCAATCATTATCTACTGTTCTCCTGATTACTCTTTTCTCTTTCTACTTATGATTAATGTTTCTGTTCCTAATTCCTCCACATCCTGTAACCCCTTGCTTGTTAGTGGAATTACTGCCTTACTGATTAAAAAAAAACAAAAAACACTGTGTCATCTGCATATCTTGTGTTGTTAAGATTGTGGCTGTCACTACTCATACCAAATTGTTCATTTTTATTGACCTCAATTTCTGAATCTCTCAATTCATGCCACAAATGTTTGATTGGATTGAGGTCAGAAAAATTCAGAACACCATTCCATTACGCTAAGCTTATTCTTCTCAAAGTGATTTTCAGAGTGTGTCGCAGCTCATTGTCTTGTCGGATGATGAATCGCCTACCAGGCATTCCAAAAGAATGGGCTGCTATTTCAGAGAATCCATTTTTCCCCCCTCATTCCTGGTGGATTCCCCAGTACCTGCTGCACTGGCACAATCTCACAAAATGATGTATTAGAAAATGAATTGTAAACTTTTATAAATCTGCATAAGGCTAAATTTGGTCTGAGTGTTCCTACCTTATACATGATATGGCAGAAATACCTCCCACATATACCACACAAAATACCTCCCATATAATGGTAAGATGTTAGTGGCAATGGTATCTTCATTGAGCTAAGTTCTTACCATTATGTGGGAGGTATATGTGGGGGGTATTTCTGCCACACCTTGTATCAGATGCAGAAAGCAGCCCATAATATTATCAATTAATTATATTGAATATATTAAATATGGCTCAAGACCAAGAATGGAGGAAAATGGAGAGTTGGTCATCTACTGACCTATCTTTTAACTTAGTGAGTCACAAGCACTGGCCAAAGCATTTGATAATATTCCATTCACAAAAACAATATATCTACAATATATCTACAGTCACCATAATACCATGAATTCAACTCTTCCTAACTACTCCTGAAATATACTTTTTTAGAGACGTTTTGGGGAATTATAAAAATAGTTTGAATCACATTGGATCTACGAACCTGTTATATGGTATTAATGACATATACAAGGTGCAAAAATTTTAATAGATATATTTACCAAAATTACACAAAAATATCTTGAAATGCTAAAGTGTAAATTTATTCCATAAAATCACGATTGATTTCAGCCATGGCCTCCAGACGACTTTGAAATCTCCTGCAACTCTTTTGGACAGTCTCCTTGTTTAAGTTGGTGAATGCTGCCATAATCCTTGCTTGTTGTTCATCTTTGATGTGACAAGGAGTTTTGTTGGTTTCTCACTCAACTGCGCCCACACATAATAATCAAGGAGTTACAGTCTGGAGAGTTAGGGGGTCAGACATAAGAGGTGATGTAGTCACAGTAATTGTCTGATAGCCATCACTCGGTTCTTCTGCTTGTGTGGCATGGTGCAGAGTCCTGTTGCCAGATATAGGGTCTTCCAGCAGCCACTCTCTTGACCCAGGACAGCATTACCATGTCAAGGCACTTGATTTAGGACACCCTGTGTTGGGTCTGAGGCCTTGTGGGAAAATGAATGGAGGCATAATGTCACCATCACTAGTGATCACTCCAAACATCTATTGTAATCACCATTAGACTCATCCAATTCTTTCCGAATCCTCTGCACTGTACTGAGACTGACACTTAAACACACTGAAATGTTCATACTGGAGCTTCTGACACAAATGCCAAGCAGTACAGCATGTCATTTCCAAATTTCTGGCAGAGTGAATTGCGTCATGGTGCTTTTTTCTCACAGACGGTGCCCAATTAACCCTACTATACTGTGCAGTTGACAAAATCAAAAACAGACAATGTGCATGCACTTAATTAAAAATATAAAATGGCGATAATTCACCCATTGCACCTTGTATAGGTCTATCTATATTTTTGAGAGGAGGTATTGTAACTACATTATTTACATTCTCAGACTGTTGTCCTCATCTTTATTGTCAAATTCACAATGTTGCCGCTGTTTTAAAATGGCAACAATTTACCCATTTACCTGTATTTTTGGTTCTGAACATATCTATAATAATTTTGATGTTGTTTAGATTGAACAGATTGTTTAGGATAGTGGATGTTATGGAGTTAGTAGCTAGTATTATATACCTGTTTTTATTTGTTTTATTGTCAGTGTTATTGTTATTAATAACGTTGCTATCTTTTTTGCAGTTGTATATTCTGTATGCCTTTCTCTTAGTATTATTCTTAATGTTCTTAAATTGAATCCTATAATTATTCCAGATTTAATTTTGTTCACTATTAATATATCCACAAAACATAATTTTACCTAATCTTGTCAATAAAATTAACAATGTTGAACCCACAATAGATTTTACCTTTTAATATGAGTCCAACAACACTTTACCATTTATAGATATCATGCTGCATAGATAAAATAATGAACATCAGTTGGAGGTTTACAGAAAATCTATGAACAAGAATCAAATTATCATTTTTATTCTCACCACTGCAACTAGATTCATTATTAGCAGCCATAACCTTTGCAATATATGATATGCCAATGACAAAGTGTTGATAGCCAACATGGAAAAGAAATGACAAGAACTATAGAAGGTAGTGAAGGAAAGTAAAAAGAAAAGACTAAACATCAGTTGCAAGAAGACTGAATGTATAGTTGTTAGCAAAAGAAACAATCCAAGATGCAAATTATTGATTGGAGATACCAAAATCAAACAGGTGTAACAATTTAGATATCTGGGAAAGGTATTAACAGAGAGCAAAAAATGAGACATGGAAATCAAAAGGTGGATTAGGGTAACTTAGATGTGGCTCAGGGCCAAAAGTAAGGGGCATTCAATGAGGATTGAACTCACTACTCACTTGTAATTGGTCTAGTGAGATAAGCCTGCTAACCATTACATCACATCAAGGTGCCCAAGCATGATGGTAATGACGATGTGTAACTAGGTTTATATATAGGTATAATTATTTCCAGATATTTTATGTTTTACATTAAATTTAAAATTTATGTTTCTTTTTATAACAAAATTTGGTGTGTATATGTTTTTTAATCATTTCACCCCAATCAAGGCAGGAATGCCACTAGGGGGTTACAGGGAGGGAAAGTGAGAGAAAAGATTGGGTATAGTAGGAATTGAGGAAAGGATAAAAGATGAATGGAATTCAAGAAGATAGAAGATAGTAACTGACATTGCATTTAAGTTTTTGAAGATTGTAGTTATCAGGAAAGCAAGTAAATGGAAGGGAGTCCCACAGTAGGGAAGTGCAAGAAGAAACTGTTGGCATAGAAATTGTGGTTACATTTAACTATTTCAACAGTAAGAAGGTGGTACCTGATGCCAATCTAGTAGCACACTTAAATTCACTTCGAAGCACCAGGGAAAAAAGCTTGTCAGAGCAGTTGCCATGAAAATATTTGCAGAAAAAAACAGATGAAAGCCACCTCACATTGGTGAGAAAGTGACTTGAATTTTTATTGGGGTATCTGTTTATTTTTTTGTGTGGAAAGCATCCTTCTCCTCTATATTCCAACACATCAATAAAACTTTGCTTTTGCCTTTTAAGCTGTCGACTGGGTTCTGCCAAAACTTCCTTCAATCACTTTCATCCCTGACAACAAAAAACGTTAAAATCACCAGAAAAAAGAAAATTTTTTTTTTTTTTTAAATACTTTAAAAATCAAATAAACAAACAAGTTAAAAATCGATTTTTATATTCTGTAAAATTTTTCAAAAGCAAAAATAAAATAAAATATGTTTTTAAATTCTCATTACATTTGTGATATGAATTAATTAATCATTATTTTCCCCAAGATGGATGTTTGGATGTTAATGTGTTTACAGCTTAATAGTGGGAGAAAACTTTAAAAAGATGCAGGGGCAGGGGAACAAAGTCATGGTAAGGTGTTGGCAGTGGCTGCTGTTGTAGTTGTAGCAGCCATTGTAGGGAGCAAGTAAAAGAAATTTAAAAAATGTAAAAAGAGAGAAAGGAAAAATATTTGTAATGTGAATCTAAAATATTTGACACTGAAAAAAAATAATCGGAGTCAAAACTGAAAAAAAAAAACCCTAAAAAAATAAAAATTACTGTGACTTTTATTTCATTTTTTTAATGTTTGTTTTATTATTATTTTATTAGTATTATTTTATTAGTATTATTATTAAGGAATAGAAAAATCTAAGAATAACCATGTCCCCCTGTGACCTTTAAAATGCAATTCTCCAGTAAGTACCTGACTCCTCCTGCTGTCCTCTATCTTTACAAGAGCCAGATCAGGCCTAAAATGGAGTACTGTTGCTATATATGGGTAGGAGTGCCCAGTCTTCACTTTTCAGTCTCAATAGAGTCCAAAAGCATCGTATTGTCCTTGTGGGTGACAAGTTATTTTCTATCCTTTTCTATCCTTTTCTCGTAGGTGAAACGTCACAAGCATCTCCCTGCTCTATTGTTATTTCCATGGAAAGTGCTCAAATGAACCACATTTCTTAGTTGCACCAGTTCTAACCTTCATGGCTAAGACCTGCACATTGTAGCGAAACACCCTCATTCCCTTCACATTCCAGTGGTGAGATGCAAGTGAGCAACTTCTTCCCACAAACTGTTGCTTTGTGGAAACGACTCCCAAGAGGATGCTTTCCCAATCACTACAATCTTAACTTGCTCAAGTCTAGGTTTAACTGACATCTTCTTCACACATCCACATAAACTGTAATTCTTTGGCTCATGTGACTCCCAAGCCTTGTACAGAAAAAAAGAATTCTATAGTATAACTATGACTTACCTGTAGTCTCTCATCATACAAGTCTATTAATGATTCAACAGGGAATTAAAATATTTTTTAAAACCAAATTATCTCGAATAAAGTTAAATAGACAAATAGTTTTCATAATGCTAATGGAGTAGACATTTATGGTATAATGAAAATTTGATCCAAGCTCATGGTCATATCATGTTGAAACATTGGTTCCCATACGATCATCGAAGTTAAGTAACATTAACCTTGGTCAATACTTAGATGGGTGATTACTTGCGAATATCAGGTGCTGTAAGCTTGGATGTGTGGGTGGTGTAATAGTTTATCTATTACTTGGAATTGTTAATCAGAGAGCTGAGGTCCAATTCCAGTTGGGTTCGTTATATTCACTTATGTGCAAATACCCTTCAGGAAAGGTGTGAGTCCAACTCTACTCCCCTCAGTAATTGATAAGATGTAGAAAACGAATTGATAAATAAATAATAATACTTTACCTTTACAAGAGCCATATCAGGCCTGGCACAGAGTACTACTTTAATATTTGGGTGGGAGCTGCCCAGATTGCAATTTTCAAGCCTCGATAGAATTCAAAAGTGTCTCTGAATCCTTGTGGGTGATAAATTATTTTCACCCTCCGGGTGAGATGTGACATGCCTGTTACTGTTCTATTGTTACTTTCATGGAAAATGCTCGGACAAACTACGTTGCTTGGTTCTGCCATGCATAACCTTCACAGCAAGGATCTGCCATACCACCCACATTGTAACAAACCACCCACATCCCCTCTGTATTGCATTCAAGCAGCTTCTTCCCACAAACCACTGCTCTGTAGAATTGACTCCCAAGAAGATGTTTCCCTAATCCCTAAAATCTTAATCTGTTCAAGTCAAGGATTAGCCATTACCTTCCCCTCCTATCAGTATAAACTGCCTCCTAATGTAGTTCTCTACCTTGAGTGGCCTCCTGGCCTAGCACAGAGTGAACCTTACTGTAAATAGAATTAAAAAATATTATATTAAACAATTGAAACTATTTACAAAATCTTATATTATTAATCTTCTTGGGTTAATGTTTTTCCACTAAACACGTACAGATGAGATACCAAAGAGGAAAGCTCATTAGAACAATTGCCATGGAAATGTTTATAGAAAAGGTAGAGGGAAGCCATGTTACAACAACAGGAAAATGACTGATGTCGAGATATCAGGCCATGTCCAATAACATTATTTGGATTTTGTCTTTATTTATATAGATATAATTTACTGATTTATTTTCAAAATATCAATCCTATAGGGCCATAAATGCTGGACAATGTCCTCACAGATGAAGAGGAGACTTGAGATAACAGAGTTATGGTTCTACAGAAGGATGCCTTGAATACCATGGACAGAACATGTGAACAATGGGGAAGTTTTAAGAAAAATGAAAACAAGAAGAACATTTATGCTTAGAGACATATAATGGGGAAAGAAGGCTTAGAGAATTTAACACTCACAGGACATACTGGAGGCAAAAGGGACAGATGATAACCTACCTAATGAGCTTGTGTAAATGGATATAAAAACAAAGAGTGTGAGGGATAGTAAAAAGACAAGTTTTGCTGAGAGCTACAAAGGAGAGTATGTTCAAAATTGTCTTGATTGCCTGAAGGGACATGTCACAGAGAAGAAGATATATTTATTGTACACTGAATTCATTGCTAGTTCAGCTGGTAAGAAAGTTGGTTTACTGTGTCATGTGAGACAATTTTTCTCTCCAGAATCTATCTTACATATCTATATGTTTACCATTCGCCCATGCTTAGAATATTGCTGCCACATGGTTTGGTTCTCCTGCTATTTACCTTGAACCCTTTGATAAAACTCAAAGAAGAATCAGCAATATTATTGGTCCTGATCTGGCAATCACTTTCCCATCACTGTAAGGTTGCTTCTCTGTGCCTTTTCTATAAATACTTTCATGGTAATTTTTCAGATAATTTCTTCTTACTGGTACCTAGACTTTTTGAATTTAAGCACAGTACTAGACTAACATCAAGATCTCATCTATTTACAGTTCTGCTGGCTAGATGTAGCCATTATTTCTATGCTAATAGTTTCTTTTCTCGCACTTCTCACTTGTGGATCTCCCTTCTGGCTCCATGCTTTCCAGCTAACTTTAATTGTCAAAAACTTAAGACAATATCAATTACTATCTACTGTCTTCCCGATTACTCTTTTCTCTTCCCATTCATTATTAATGTTTCCGTTCCTAATTCTTCTACACTCTGTAACTCCTTTTCTCTTAGTGGTTTTACTGCTTTGCATGGGGTGAAACCAATTAAAAAAAAATTATTTATATATTTATTATCATTTACTGAATAGTTCCCAAATTGTGTTATTAAATCTTTTTATAGATAGAAGGCTTTATTTCATTTGATAAAGGTATTGTTCTGTGTAAGCAGCTCATCAAGGAACAGATGAGTCATCTTTTATACCCCTATGTTGATAACAGTCAGTCAGTCTTGTTTTTTTATCCACAGTACCAAAAGAACAATAGCAACTTGGCATTTCTGTAAGAATCTTTGGAGAGAATAATGCCAACTTTTTTTGGAATTTTTTCCTATTTTTTTTTTGAGAATCCAATATTTTATAAAAAAAAAAAAATAAAAAATACTTTAAATAGTAGCATGTAGGTGGAGTTGTGCAAAAGGGAGTTGAAAAAAATTTTGGCCCACCTCCCAAAATCTGACCAAATGAATGAGTGTCAGAATTTTTTAAAAATCTCTTCTTGTTCAGGTCAAGATCTTTTCAACACACTCTTGTATTAATTTTTTTATTTTTTTATATGTAGATCTCTAAGTAATGTAGACCACTCTCTCTCCAATCACTCCCTCTTTCATACTTCATATATATATATATATATATATATATATATATATATAGATAGATAGATAGATAGATAGATGTATATGTATGCAGGTTTCATTAAAATGACTGACAAAGTGATATGTTTAGGTTTTTATATAATTTTTCATGTCTTCTTGTAATTTTTTTTCTTTTCAGGACATAAATTAACTAAAAATTGTCCAAATGTTTTATATATCCAAGCACTTTTGTCTATACTTTTAGCCATCATCAAATTATTAGAACACATGAAAATTATATAAAAAACTTAACCAAAGCACCTTGTTAGTTGTTTTAATGAAACTAGCATAAAAGAGGGATTGTTACCCAAATACACAATATATATATATATATATATATATATATATATTATATATATATGCAATATCATATATGATATTTATAGTATAAATCTATATACATATATATATATATATATTAATAATAACATTTTTACCACATTTGTAGCACAACTTTGAGTCTTGTATGCAATACAATAGCTCTGTATAATAAATACATTGAGCTCTTATTGTGGATCAGTTTTAATATTTTTATATTACTAGGATCTACTGAGATTATATACCAACAGATTTATTACCTTTACTATATATATATATATATATATATATATATATATATAAACTGTATATATATATATATATAAAATGTGTAAAAAAAACTATCCAAATGTTCTATATATACTGAAAGCACTCAGATATATCGAACATTTGAACATTTTTTACACACTTTATATCCAGAAATGAAATAACTTATACATCCATAAGAAAAATTGAATGAAAAGATTAATCACAGAATCTTATCAGTCATCTTTAATGAAACTTGAGTATATATATGTATGTGTGTGTGTGTATCTATATGTTCATGTGTATGTATGTGTGTGTGTGTGTGTGTGTATATCTGTGTCTATTAATATATATGTTTAAATTTATGTTCAAACTTTAAATAATCTCACAGAACACTTCATATCTATATTTCCCTTATATTGTAGTTATTACATTTAATTCTTTGGTTAAAGTCCAGTAAACAAGAATTTAGGTTTGCACCATATTACAAATGGCTTGAATAAAAAGTACATCTTCCTTGTGATATTTGTTTTCTCTTTCATTTATATTCAGCATTTATTGGATAAAATGGTAACCTCTAAATGTATTTTAAACCAGATCAAAATGGCTAGATACCTACTCATTGTATTTCCTACTAAGGTTCAAGAATAACAAACTGGTCAGTTGTACAGTGAACAAGTTGGCATTCACTGCCTCTCAACAGAGGCATTGGGATGTCTGAGGATAGAATGTCACTTCTGAAGACACTTGCTTTTTAAGATGGTTACAATACATTCACACAGAAGACTGTGCCCAGAAAACAGCCATTCAGTTTAATGAATAAGTAATGTACTTTGTTATAAAATTGTAATTAAAAAACAATATATGCATTTTTATATATTGTGTATTTGGTTAAGAATCCCTATTTCATACAAGTTTCATTAAAGATGACTAACAAGGTATTGCAATTAAGCTTTTTGTTTAGTTTTTCTTGTGTTTGTCCAAGTGTTTTCTTTTCTTTGTGTAAAAACTGTTCTGTATATACAAGTGCATTCGGCTATTCTCTTAGGCGTTACCAAGGATGATTTTTATTTATTTATTTTTTTTAAATTTTTAACTAAATGTGTGCGTTTTTTATGTGTGTGTCTGAAGTTATAGAAACATTTTATTTTTCAAACACAGTCAGTACATTTTGGCCATGTTCATAGCTAATGTTAATGTGTGGGCTTTTCCATTTTTATTATTAGTGCATTCATTATTTTTAATCTTCTGTATTGTAATTTTATACAATTTTATTTATGTATTTGTGTGTGTGTTTTATGTTGCAACTGTGATAATAAATACATTGAGCTCTTATTGTGAATCAGTTTTAATATTTTATATTACTAGGATCTACTGAGATTATATACCAACAGATTTATTATTTATATATATATATATATATATATATATATATATATATATATATATATAAAAACTGTATATATATATATATATATATATATATATATATATATATAAAATAATATATTATTCATGTTATAAAAGGTAGAAAGTCACTCTGTAATATCACAAGCCCCTATCATGGAGGGTTTTTAGACACGTGTTGTCATCCTGACAGGACTTGGATGAAGAGATTGAATCTCATGTGTCTTGGCAGGATGCCTGTACTTCCAGCAAGAACAGTCACTGTTGCATGCTGAGAGTAATTTTATTACTTTTATTTTTTATTTATTTATTTTAAACATGGTTTAGATTTTATTTTATTTATAATTTTCATTATTATTTTATATTTTATCTTTATTTATAATAATAACAATGTTTCCACACTTGTTTTATAATACTTGT